GCCTCCATTGATACGATAAGGAACTCTATAAACTATGTGCTGCAGGGAGGGAACCTTTGATGGAAACAGGGAGTACTGAGTTTGTCAGCCATGCTTCAAAGTTCTGTCTCTGGGTCTTTTATTTGTTGTGTTACAACACATCCTGCATATGAATGTCCAGGATCCTGCAGTAACACTTCCTTTATTAAACTGATTGTTTTCATTAGAGAACTGGAGTTCCACTCCCAGTGACCACATGGTATCTTACATGTATCTGTCACTCCAATCTGAGTGGGTCTGAATCTCTTTTCTGGCCTTCATGGGCACCAGGCACGAATGTGGAGCAAGCAAAACACCTATATAAATATATATATTAAAAAAATTGTAGTTAATGTCTGCAGACTTTCCCTCACCCTTTTGTTTTCTTTCTTTTTTTTTTTTTTTGGTCTCATTGTGTGACCTGTCTGACCTGGAACCCTGGGACTTCATAAACCAGTCTGTCCTTTAGTTCAAAGCAGTCTGCCTGTAGTTCAAAGCAGTCTGCCTGCCTTTGCCTTCCAAGTGTGTGGTGCACAGCACCATACACATCATGTCTGCAGTTCATTGTTACAATTGTGTGTATTTCTTTCTGTTGTCTTTTATCTTTACTGGTACACAAGCAGTATAATGTTTTTATTTTCACAACCTATTGCTCATTGCCAAGGCACAGGGAATAGGATGGCAATATGTATCCTACATGTTTGCTATAGTATCTCACTAGTTTCTTGAATTTTTATTGCTTTTTTGAGATTTTTTTTTCTTTTTTCTGAAAAAGCTCCTTTCCCCCTTTGATGACATGCACCTCCTGTCCAAGTATTTGTATGATCATATGATTTAAAATTATTTTTATATTTTTATTTATTTGCCTGCACTTATGTCTGTGTACCATGTACTTGCTTGGTGCCTGTGGAGGACAGAAGAGTTGTGTGGGATAATCTTTTTGTACATTATGAATATGTGTCTCTGGCTGAGGTGCCTTCTGGTTGATTTAATAAAGAGCTGAACGGCCAATAGATGGGCAGGACAGAGTAGGTGGAGCTTCTGGGGAGAAAGAGTGACTTGGGAAGAATCTGAGGGGCTTGGGATTAAGCCAGTGAGACGCAGAGGGAGTCAGGTGTACAGTATAGAGGAGAGATAACAAGCCATGTGGCAGAATTTATAAGAGCTAGTCAGGAACAGTCCTAAGCTAATGCCAAGCTTTCCTAATGAATAAGAAATTTCCGTGTTATTATTTGGGAACTAGTGGAATAAAGAAATGCTGACTACAGAGGAGGGCGTTTTATCTCCTGGAACTGGAGTTACAAATGGTTGAGAGCCACTGTGGTGCTGGGAGTTGAACCTGGATCTTTTGGAAGAGCAGTCAGTGCTTTTAACCTCTGAGCCATCTCTCCAGCCTGATCATATAAGTTTTGTTATTTACTTGTTGATGCTAGATTACATTGATTTTTAAGTTGTTTTGGGGGATGGGTTGGGTGTTGGGAATTGAACTTTGTTCCTTGAGTGCTGTATCATCGAGCTTCATTCACAACCTGAATTTTGAAGTTTTAATTGATTTTGCATAACTGTCTTAATTCCAACTTGGTTGTGGTAAGTTTTTGATTTGGTTTAGTTAATTTCTTTATTATGCTGAGGTGGGTTTGTGGGTAGGTTAGGATGACTTTCTTCTTGCTTCTTCCTGCTGCCTCCAAAGTGCCGGGATAGTAAGTATGGACCATGATGCTTTCTTTTTCAAGATTTTTACAAATTTTCCCTTTAACAATTTCATGAATGTCTAAAATGCATGCTGTGGCCCTTGTCCTCTAACATCCTCACACCCCTAGTGTCGCTTACTGCTCACTCATATCTCCATTCTTAAATTTTGTCTTGGAAACACTGTTAAGCCAGGACCATCATTGAGTTTGGAACTATTCATGGGAGCTTGGTGGGTACCTGAGTGGGTAAAAAACTAAAGACAGTGTTTTCTTTCTCCAGCATCAGTGGCCAGTAATTCAAGGAAGAGTAGAGCACTGTATACCTCTCCCTGACCTGTAATTGACTAGTGATAGGTGAAGTCATGACTGCATTGGCTCTACTATGCCCAGAAGTTAGCATTTTACAGCCATTCCTCCTCTCTTTGGCTGTCACATTTTTACCCCCTTCTCTGTGACCCTTAATAGGTAGTGGGATAAATGTCCTATTTAGGGCTGGAGAAATGACTCAATTTATGAGCACTGGCTACTCTTTCAAAGGACCAGAGTTCAATTCCCAGCACCTGCATGGTGGCTTACAACCATCTGTAACTTCAGTTTCTCTTTTGGCCTCCTTACCTTAGGTACTGTGTGAACATGTTGCACAGAAATACATGAAGGAGCTGGGCAGTGGTGTCACACACACACCTTTAATCTCAGCACTCAGGAGGCAGAGGCAGGCAGATCTCTCAGTTTGAGGCCAGCCTGGCCTACAGAGTTCCAGGACAGCCAGGGTTACACAGAGAAACCCTGTCTCAAAAATCCACAAACAAACAAATAAACAAAAAGGAAAAACCAAAACACCATGAAGACATAACATCCATACACATAAAATAAAAATAAAGTTCCATAAGTAAAATTAAAAAAAAAAAAAAAAAAAAAAGAAACCAAAAACTTAAAAATGTTTAATTTAGGGTTGAGCACTTAACTGTAACATATTCTCAGCACTTTAAGCACCTATGCATCCTATATTCACTGATATTCACTGCAAAGGGAGGAACATAATTTCATATGTTTATGGGTATGAGCATAAATATTTAGAAAGTAGCCTGGCTTCAGGACAGTTTAGCTAAACATTGTTAGTAAATTTATTCCTAGAGGCTAAGGCCAGATTTACAGTGCCAAGTATACATTCCCTCTTGTGAAGCAAGCCTCAAATCCAGAGAGCGGTGGGTTAGTCACTTAAGAGTTTCTTTTAAAATCTATATACAATCCATTGTCTTAGTGGTTGCTCTATTGCTGCGAAACAACTCCATGACCATGGAACTCTTATAATGGAAAACATTTAATTGGGAATTTCTTAGAGTTTCAGAGAGGTTTAGTTTATTATCATGTCAGAGAGCCTGGTGTCATGTAGGGAGACATGGTGCTGGAGAAGTAGCTGAGAGTTCTATGTTTGGATCTGGAAGAAAGAGACACTGGATCTGGTTTGGGCTTTCGAAACCTCAAAGCCCATCCCCAATGACACACATCCTCCAACAAGGCCACACTTCCTAATCCTTCTCAAGCAGTGCTACTCCCTGATGACAAAGCATTGAATATATGAGCCCATCAGGGCCATTCTTATTCAAGCTGCCACACCCATCTATAACATTCCTGAGCATATACTCACAAGACTCTTACTACAGATATACTTGCTCAACCATGTTTATCATTGCTCTATTCAAAATATCTAGGAAATGAGAACTGCCTAGATGTTTATAATTGATGAATGGGTAATGAAAATGTGGTATATACACGTAATGGGGGTGTGTGTTTGCACTCATGCACATACCTAATTTATGTTGTGGTAGGATGATGGTAATATAGTTTAAATTCAGAAGTGTTTGCTTTTCGGAACACATTGTACAAGTTTAAATTTGTTTTTCTATTTTAAAGACAGGTCACAATTAAACTCACACTGTAGATCAGGCTAGCTGAACTCTCCTGCCTGCCTCTCCAGTGACAGGATTAAAGATGTGCACCACAGTATTTCACTTGGTGTGAAGTCTTAACTGTTTGGATCCTCCTTATTATTTTCTTCCCATTTCATTTTATCAGAGTTTTCTCCATGTCATTTTACTTCTTGATTTTTATAGCTGTATTATTAGGTTTAAAACACTGAACTGTATGGCCAGAATACAGTGAAAACATGGACAATGTAAAGATAAAGGTGGAACATAGTCATTTACCTTCAGAGGGCTTCTAGAAAGATGCACATTCCTGATGATACACACAATGAAGTCATTGCTGGAAAGCTGAGAACAGTAAAAACACACTAAACAACTGGGCATGTTGGTGCACATCTGTAACCCCAGCATTTGCGGGCAGAGGCAGGTTGACATCTGAGTTTAAGGCCAGTCTGGTCTTCAGAGCGAGTTCTATGACAGCGAGGACTATACCGAGAAACTCTGTCTTGAAAAACCATAATCAAAACAAGCCCCCCCCAAACGCCCCCAAAACAAAACCAAAAACCTAGAGCTAACCACTTCTAGACCTCAGATTGGAAACTTTTTTTTAAAGATTTGTTTATTATGTATACATTGTCCTTTTTTTTTTTTTTTAAATGGTTTATTTATTTTTATTGGTATTTTGCCTATGTGTATGTCTGTGCAAGGGTGTCAGATCCCCTGTAGGTGGAGTTACAAGCAGTCATAGGCTGCCATGTGGTTGCTGGGAATTGAACTGAGGTCCTCTGGAAGAACAGCCAGTGCTTTTAACCACTGAGCCATCTCTTCAGCCCATATACAGTGTTCTGTCTGCATGCCAGAAGAGGTACCAGATCTTATTACATATGGTTGTGAGCCACCATGTGGTTGCTGGCAAGTGAACTCAGGACCTCTGGAAGAGCAGTCAGTGCTCTTAACTGCTGAGCCTTCTCTCCAGCAGGTTGGAAACTTTTTACCTTATGTGGCTTTAGTAAGCTTGGGCCTCAGTCATAGGAGCCCCACTCAGAAGCGACCTCCTTCCTGAGCCCAAGGGCTTTAGCAGAGTTCACAGCAGGCTGTGTGCTAGGGTTTGGCTAGCAGAGTGGTAGGTAAGAAATTGTAGGTTGCTGATGATGGAGCTCGAGATACATTTAGTCACAGGTAAGACTAGTCTGAGAGGAGCCTGTGAATGGAGACCAATAGACTTGGAGGTTGTGAGGGTGGAGTGTGAAAAGACATACTCAGTGGGAGCACAGGTCCTGAATATTGCTGGTTGCTTGTGTGATAGCTGATTCTTCAGTTGACTTGATTGGCTCTGGAATCAACTAAGAGGCCTGTCTCTGTGCAGGTCTGCCAGGGAAGTTCAGGAATGATTAACTGAGTCAAGAAGACCCTATTGTATAGTAGGTAGTCCAAAGAAGAAGCAGTGTTGCTTTCCTGCCTGCCTTCTCTTGCTGGTGAGTGCATCTGTCCCACTGCCACCGCTGCCGCCACCACCATCCTTCACTGACATTGGAACCCTGCTTCTTGGGGACTGAAGACCAGAAGCTTTCCAGATGTGCTCTGGGCCTTTGGCACCAGATTGAGGCTCCTGAGGCTTCTAGTCTTCTTGGATGGAGCCTCTGCATCATGGAGACAGCCATTGTTGGACTATCCAGGCCAGATCAGGTAATCTGCAGATTAGATAAGGTAATCTAATAAATTCCCCTTGTTATATGTTCTTTTAGTTCTATTCTCAAGAGAACCCTGATTTAGATAGCTACCTATGTCCTTCTGTTTTTCTTATACATTCCTTAAATATTATTTTAAGTCATCATTCTCTATTTAATTTGTACACACACACACGCACACACACACACAAACACACATTTTTGTTTTTGTTTTTTGAGACAGGGCTTCTCTGTATAACAGTTCTGGCTATCCTACATCTGGCTGTCCAGGCTGGCCCAAAACACACAGAGATCCGCCTGCCTCTGCTTCCCTGAGTGCTGGGATTAAAGGCATGAGCCATCACTGCCCAGCTTAATTTGTATATATTTTTAATTTTTAAAAGTTAATTTTTTTTAAATTTCATGTACATTGGTGTTTTGCCTGCATTTATATCTATGTGAGGGTGTCAAATCCCCTGGAACTGGAGTTACAGACAGCTGTGAGCTGCCATGTGGGTGCTGGGAATTGAACCCTGGTCCTCTGGAAGAGCAGCCAGTGTTCTTAAATGCTGAGTCATCTCTCCAGCCCTGATCATTCTCTATTTAGAGTTGACATGTTACTGCTGAAAAAGATGCTTTTTCTTTTCATCATTGAAGGCCAAAAATAATCACTCAAATCAGCATGCTTCATATCAACAAGTCATGGTATGGGAGTTTTGGGGGCTCTGTTAGAGTTGCACATGGGAGATTCATGGGGTTCTTAGTCTTATTACTAAAAAGGGGAGGGTTGGGAGATGGCTCAGCAGTTAATAGCAGTTACTGTTCTTGCAGAGGACTTAGGTTCAGTTCCTAGCACCTACATAGTGGCTCACAACTGTTGTAACTATTATTCCAGGGGATCCAATGCCCTCTTATGCATATGGTGCATACTTGCACGTACACACACACATTTTTTAAAAAAGAATTTAAGAGCTGCCTCAAAAGGAAGCTTAAGGACAGTTTTGAGTTGACAGCAAACCATCAGTACTGACAAGCTATAAGCTTTCAAAGCTGCCAGGAATGGGAGATTGATAAGGGAGAAGAAAGCGGTGCTACATGAGATAAATTGGTGTACTGGTCAGTTGCGTGGCAGATAGGGCCAAAGTACCAGAAAAACATTTAGGCTCTAGCCAGCTACCTAAAGAGAAGGGCAAAAGAGAAGAAAAAGGAAAGTTACTCAGGAGATCTCATGGCAACTGCTAGCAATTACACAGAGAACCCTTGTCCTGTTTACAACTATTGAATACTGATTTAATTTCTTTCCTACATGTGCATGTACATAGTTATATTGTTTAATCTCTTTTTTTGGTGGAGTCTTCAAATAATTTGTCCATTGCATCTAAGATGTTCCATTTGTAGTCCAGTAATTTTCTTCATTTATGATTTTCATTATTCGAATGTGACATTGCCCCTCTAGGTTCATGTGTAGGACACTTGATCTCTAGCTGGTGGCACTGTTTAGATTGTGTGGTTACTGATAATTCTCAGAGATGACTTATATTAAATAATTTTTTCCCCATTCCATTTGTCACATTTGTGTTTATCAATATCTTTTCTGCAATTTTTGGTTGTTAAAGGTAAACATTGCTGGGGTTGATGGTACATCACTTGGGATGCTGAGGCAGGTTGATTTTTATGAGTTTGAGGCCAGCCTGGTCTACATAGCAAGCTCTAGGCCAGAAAGCAAGGCTATATAATGAGGCCCTGTCTCAAAAAAACAAAAATGAGTAAGCATTTGTAATTTTTTTTTTTTAATTCTTTTGCCACCACCCAAATCACACACAGAGGCTTATTCTTTCTTATGAATGCTGATTTAGGTTGGCTTATTTCTAGCCAGCTTTTCTTAAATTAACCTTTTGCCTCTGGGCTGTTTCCTTTCTCTATTTCTGTGTATCTTTCTTTTTCTTCTTATTCTTTGTCTGGCCCCTTCTTTTTCTCAATCCTTGATACCTCTTCCCATACTTCTATTTATCCTTTCTGCCTGCCAGCCCTGCCCATCCTTTCTCCTGCCTTGCTATTGCCGTTCATCTTTTTATTAGACCAATCAGGTGTTTTAGGCAGGCAAAGTAACACAGCTTCACAGAGTTAAACAAATGCAACATAAAAGAATGCAACACATCTTTGCATCATTAAATAAATATTCCACAGCATAAACAAATTAACACATCTTAAAATAATATTCACAACATATTTGGTTCAACAGGTTAACACAACTGTCACTAAGACTGGTAACCTGAGTGTAATCCCTGGGGCACACATGGTAGAAGGAGCAAACTGACTCCCACACTTACAGTGGCTTGTGTGGTCATGGGAATAAATGCACACACTAAATACTTGTCTTAAAGAGTGTATATGATTATGGAGTACTTAAGAAAACCAGTTCTCTCTTCTCCAGGGTTTGCTCTTTCTGTTTGTTGTTGGGTACAGTTTGCCATATGCTTAAGAACATTTCCCAAGTACTTGTCCCAGAGATTCTATTACTTGTATGCACTCACTGAACTCCATGGTTTTTCTTTTTTCTTAACCTTGTTTTCAGAAATTTCTTTGAATGTCAGGAATATGGAGGAAAAAACTTAAACACTGAGCATGACTTGCAAGGACAGACAGCTTCCTGAGCCCTAATGTTAATGCTGTTGTATGTATCAGATGATAGGGTGTGCCTGGGACAAGATCTAGGGATGGATGGAGAAAGAGAATGGGGTGGGGAAGCAGCACATCTCCTCCTGGGTGCAGTAACGAGGAGAGCAATCTGTCTGCTGTCTCTGAACATCACTCAGTGCTTTTACTAAACCACTCAGTTATGCTGTCATACTGTCAGATGTGGACAGATGTGTTGTTCTCACCCCCTCTTTCATATACAAATATGGAATGTTATAGGATCTGGTGAGCTTTGAGGATCTGGCTGTGAACTTCACCCAGGAAGAGTGGGATTTGCTGGATTCTTCTCAGAAGATTCTCTATGGGGATGTGATGCTGGAAACCTTCAGGAACTTCACTGCTATAGGTGAGGGCATCATATAACCTTCATTCCATAAATTAGAGAACAAATGTTCCTGGTTATTGATGGTCGCTGTAGTTTGGATGCGGAAAGGGAAGAATGTGGTGAAGAAATTAGATATAGTTGTAACTGTGCATTGTGATAATTTATCACATTTTCTGTGACTGTGTTTCAGGGTACGAATGGGAAGACCAGACAATTGAAGAACATTATGAAGAACCTGAAATAAATCTAAGGTAATCTGCATGAACAAGGGGAAGTAAATGTCCCTCAGAGAAATTTTAATGTGCCATGAAAATTTTGTTTTTAAGATTTATTTTTTTATATTTATTTTTTGGTTCTTTTTTTTTCTTTTCTTCCTCCACTTCGTCCTCCTTCAAGACAGAGACAGGATTTCTCTGTGTTTAGCTCCACCTGTCCTGAAACTAGCTCTGTAGACCAGGCTGGCCTTGAACTCACGGAGATCAGCCTGCCTCTGCCTCCCAAGTGCTGTCATTAAAGGCGTGTACCAGCACTGCCTGGCTTTTTTTTTTTTTTTTTTTTTTTTTTTTTTTTTTTGGTTACAGGGTATCTCTGTCTAGCCCTGGCTGTTCTGAAATTCACTTTGTAGTCCATACTGGCCTTGACCCCACAGAGATCTACCTGTTGGGCATGCACCACTACTGCCTGACAAGATTTATTTATCTTCATTTATATGGGTGTTTTGTTTGTGTGTATGTCTGTATACTACATGCATCAGATCCTTTGGAATTGGACTTATAGCTTGTTATCCACCATGTGGGTGCTAGGGATTGAACCAGGGTTCTCTGGAAGAACAGCCAGTGCTCATAATCACTGAACCTTCAGCTGCTGTGCCATAAAAATTTAACAAGTTAAGAAAACAAATGAGCCCAACTTTAAATTCATTTGTTTGCAGAAAATTTTCACCCAAAATATTTTTTTTTTTAGTTTTTCACCTAGAATCTGTTCTGGGACCCTCCATTGACAAATGCTACTATTTTGGTCCTAGGCCTGTGGGAACCATGCTGTGGAGCCATCCATTTATTTTCATCTTTCATATGAAGGCACACATTTTGCTTGTTTTGGGTAATAGATGGTCTAATAAGCAAACAGTAGTAAAAGAACAGTCACTAATGTGCTTGTCATCTCTCACAGAAGATACTCTGGTAATGAATGAAGCAGGTGCTCAGGGTGGAGCAACCTTATCCATATACCAATCTCAGTATGAGCAGCAATGCAGGTGGAGACATTTTCATGTGTCATTCATTTTTAATAGGCACATCGTCTCTCACTCTGAGTGTACACAGTATGAACGTGAGGAATATGAACAGAAGCCACAGGATTCTAATTTTCTTACAAGGGTTGAAGGATACACAGAAACTCAGACTGTGACTGGACCTTCTGAGTGTGAGGTATGTCTAAAATCCTATGGACTATATCACCTGACTTACAATGGACATCACAACTATGAATACAAGGAAGTTGGAGGAACCACAGCTGTACGAAAATGTTATGAATGTAACCAGTGTGGTAAAACTTTGAGTTCTTTCAATTCTCTTCAAAGACATCAGAAAATTCATATTGAAGAAAGACCATATAAGTGTCAGCAGTGTAGTAAGGCCTTTAGATGTCTCAATGCCCTTCAGTCACATGAAAGAATTCATACTGGAGAAAAACCTTATGAATGTAAACATTGTGGCACAGCTTTTAGCAGACTTACTCACCTTCGATTACATGAAAAAGTTCATACTGGAGAAAAACACTATGAATGTAAGCAATGTGATATAGTTTTCAAATCTCAGAGTTCCTATCATAGACATAAGATAATGCATGGAGAAACATTCTATAATTGTAAGCAGTGTGGTAAGTCTTTCATTTACCCCTCTTTACTTCAAATGCATGAAAGAACTCATACAGGTGAAAAGCCCTATGAATGTAAACTCTGTGGGAAAGCTTTTAGATATCATTCTTCCATACGATTACATGAAAGAACTCATACGGGAGAAAAACCTTATGAATGTAAACATTGTGGTAAAGCCTTTACACGTCAGAGTTATCTTCAATTTCATGAAAGAAGCCACACTGGAGAGAAACCCTATGAATGTAAAGAATGTGGTAAAGCCTTTAGGCATCACTCTTACCTTCGATTACATGAAAGAAGACATACAGGAGAGAAACCGTATCAGTGTGTTCAGTGTGGTAGATCCTTTAGTCGGCAGAGTTCCTTTAAGAGACATCAGTCCGTTCATGCTGTGGAAAACCCTTATAAATGTCAACAATATCTAATTCCTTTATCCCTGCTTCCTTCAAATGCATGAAAGAACTTACACCAGCACCAAACTTATGCATGCGAACTGTGTGAGAAAATGCTTATCTTAATTCACAAAAAAACACATGTAAGAACTCAAAATAGTGATGAGTCTTCAAACAATGTAGTATAACCTTCAGGGTTATAGGGACTATAGAACCCCACAACCTGGAAGCAGTTGCCAAAGATATCTCCTGCCCTTCAGCCTCCCATAAAAGTTTGTGGAGATCATGTATCTCAGGGAAAAGTAAAGCAAGGAGAAGGCCAGAAAAGAATGACTGTGAGCTACAGTGAAAGGCTAGCACTTGGACTTTGGGAACCATTTTGAAGTTATAGAACTCTTCCAGCAAATGTAAGAAATCATTCCCTATAATCACTAGAAGATAGGTCTGCCTTCTTTCATTTTTAATGAAAACTCATGTGTTCAGTTACTGAGACACACTCTTGAGTCCACTCCTATTCTGTGGAATGTATTCTATGCTGTTATTCTCAAGTTCAATAAATCTGTATACTCTCAGTATAACTGCTTTGTGTCTTACTCATTCTTTGAAATAACCTGTATATCACATCCTGGATACCTACCAACCCTGGACAGAACAGAAGGGTGTTTGTAGTTAATTCGAAGGCCTTTAAATACATTTATCATTTATTGTTTGAGAATTTCAAACACACAATGTGTTTTGATTAAATCCTATCAGTCCTATCCCCACTCTGTTCTATCTAATGCTTCCTATTCTCCCTGTCTCTTTCTGTCTCTGTCTCTTTCTCCTCCCCCCCCCCCTCGGCCTGTGACTCACTATGTAGAACATGTTGGCTTTGAATTTAACAGAGATTTACTTGCTTCTGCCTACCTAGTGTTGAGATTAAAGGTATGTGCCACCAGACTGATCAGTGTACTATTTTTTGTTTGTTTGTTTGTTTTTGGTCCACTGTGTGTGTTTATTTCTGTGCCATAGTACCCAACCCAAAGTAACAAATACATCCTTATTTCTACACCTTGCTACCAGTATTGGCATTTCTACTCCTCTCAGAAGGTGTTAATTCCATGTGGACTAAGAAAGTTGCAAAGATGTTTCTTAAAGAAAATGCCAGGTAAGAAAATGCTGATAGAAACTCAAGCCTCACCAAGACCCCAGAGTGTAGGTACGCATTGTAATCTATGTGGTCTTAAAGACTTGGGTTTTCTGATTTATACAAAGAGATGCATTTTGCATGTGTATAGATATGAATATTGGTGTGTTATAATGGTGGGAGAAATAAAAACTAGACCAGACTGAACTAGGGCAGAAATCTTTGGCTTAAGCTGGCCAGTGGTGGTTCACGCCTTTAATCCCAGCATTCAGGAGGCAGAGGAAGGTGAATCTCTGTGAGTTCCAGACCAGCCTGGTCTACAGAGTGAATTCAAGGAGAGGCTCCAAAGCCACACAGAGAAACCCTGTTTCGAAAAACCAAAAAAAAAAAAAAAAAAAAAAAAAAAAAAATTGCTAAGCTTATATATTCAAAAGGTACAAGTAAGTGTGCTATAGAGATGGCTCAGTGGCTAAGAGTACTTACTGTTCTTTCAGAGAACCTGGGTTCAGCTCCCAGTCCCCAAGTGGCAGCTTACGATTGCCTCCAATTCCAGGGCTCTAATACCTGTTAGGAGCAGTTTTTCCTGCCGGTCTGGTTCCACCACCGCACCAGACCCAAATAACACACAGAGACGCTGTATTAGATATAATTCTGTTGGCCTGCTACTAGCATTTCTCATTGGCTAGCTCTGTCTTAAATATTAACCCATTTCTATTAATCTAAGTATTTTCACATGGTCTTATCGGAGAGAGAGAGCCCGACGTTCTACTCTCTCTGTCCTCCATGTTGAATCCTCTCCCTACTCATTCCCGCATCCTCCTTGTCCCCTGGTCTCCTATCTTGTTTTTCTATTGGCCAACAGTGTTTTATTCATTAACCAATAAGAGAAACATATTTACAGAATGACATCTCCCATCAAATACCATCTTCTGTCCTCAAAATGCACCTCCATATGTGGAGGCAAACACAAAACTTTCTTTTAAAGTCAGTTTATTTGATTTCTGGGTCAAAAGATTGCCTTCTTAACCCCTGATAAATCAAAAATTAATATTGATGAAGAAACTCACAGACTCAAATTGGTGTAATTTACCATGTAAAGCATATTTTTAATGTTCAGGTTGAGAAAAGTGCCTTTCACTTGTAGTGCAAGAGACAGATGTCAGGAACATCAGTGACTAGCTCAGTCATTGGCCATTTGCATGCCAGGCCTTACAGTAGCAGATGGAGCAGCTCAGTTTAAAACATGAATTCAGTGGGTTTAATGGGTTACTAGAACAACAGGTGTCAAGTGTAAATATTAAATTGCAAATGGCAAAGTGAGTGTCAAGATTGGCAAAGCAGTGTTCACAATTGTTTTACTTATATAGAACTGAAGTGCAGGCACATTGTCAAAGTGACCCCAGAAATGAAATAGGAAGCCCAGTAAGTTTTTGTCTGAACTATTCCAGTACATGTATTGGAATTCCAGAGCAAATGAACTACTGTTTATTTGAACTACTCAGTCTCTTGACTGAGACTTGACTGAGGCAGGAGCACAGGTCCTGTGGGTCCCCTGATATTTTAGTCTAACAGTTACTCTTTCTAAATTTCTGTGTATGTGCACATGAATGAGCACCTCCACAGAAGCTAGAAAAAGGTATTAGAATCATCAGACTTGGAGTTACAGTAGGTTCTGAGCCAGCCAGTGTGGATTCTGAGGACCAAACTCAGGTTCTTTGGAAGAAGTGCTCATACCTGCTGAACCATCTCTCCAGCCCCCTGTTAATCTCAGATTCTTCCCCATAGGGACCTTTAGTTCTGTACCTGGGGTAGCTAGCTGTTCCTTATATAATATACCATAACTACATCCAACAGGACCTCTTTGAAATAATTGGTGTTGTATCTTATACTCATGAAAAACCTTAAACCATTTTAAATGACATATTGTGTAGGTCTTTGAAAAAGGTTTGAAGAATATCCATTTGAAATATATCTCTGTATATCTAGAAAACTTTGCTAGCATAACTATTAAGTTTTGACTATTATAGGTGACTACAATCTGTATTTAATTATACATTATATTTTTAAATGAGATGTATAACCAAATAATCCAATTAAAAAGTGGGGTACAGAACTAAACAGAATTATCAATAGGGGAATATAAAATGGCTGAAAGACACTTAAGAAAGTATTCAAAATCCTTATCCATCAGGGAAATGCAAATCAAAACAACTCTGAGATATCATCCTACTCCTGTCAGAATGGCTAAAATAAAAAACACCAATGACAGTTTATGCTGGAGAGGATGTGGTTGGGAGTGCAAACTTGTACAGCCACTTTGGAAATCAGTATGGCAGTTCCTCAGGAAAATAGGAATCAGTCCACCCAGGGTCCAGCGATTCTACTCTTAGGCATCTACCCAAAAGTTGCACATTCATGCAACAAGGACATCTGTTCAACTATGTTCACAGCAGCATTATTTGTAATAGCGAGAACCTGGGAGCAACCTAGATGCCCCTCACCTCAAGAATGGATAAAGAAAATGTGGCACATTTACACACAAAATGGAGTACTAGTCAATGGGGAAAACACAATGGAATCTTGAAATTTGCAGGCAAATTGATGGAACTACAAGAAACCATCCTGAGTGAGGTAACCTAGTCACAAGAAGATGAAAATGGTATGTACTCATATATGGATTTTAGACATAGAGCATAGTATTACCAGCCTACATTCCACACCACCAGAAAAGCTAGGAAACAAGGAGGACCCTAAGAAAGACATACATGATCCCCCACAGAAGGGGAAAGGGACAAGATCTCCTGAGCAAACGGAGCAGTAGGGGAGGAACAGGAAGTTAGGAGAAAGAGAAGGGGAGGGGAGAAGAGAACATGAGGGAACAGGAAGACTGTGTCAGGTGAAGAATAGGAGAACAAGAAAAGAAATACCATAATGGAACCTTTATAGGTTTAAAGAGATATCTGGGACAAGGGAAATGTCCAGAGATCTACAAGAATGACCCCAACTAACAATGTAAGCAATAGTGGAGAATCTATCTTAAATGACCTTCCCTGATAATGAGATTGATGACTACCTTATATGCCATCCTAGAGCCTTCATTCAGTAGTGATGGAAACAGAAGCAGACAACCACAGCTAAACACTGAGCTGAATTCCTGGAAACCACTTGCAGAGAGGGAGGAGTGATGAGCAAAGGGGTCAAGACCAGGCTGCAGAAACCCACAGAGACCTGAATAAGGGGGAGCTCATGGACCCCAGACTGATCGCTGGGAAACCAGCATAGGATTGACCAAGAACTGAACATGGGTGTCAGTCTGACAATGGAACCAGGATGTATCCCTGGTGCACCAGTGGACTTTGGGAATCCATTCTCCATGGGGCGATACTCCCTTAGCCTAGAGACACAGGGGAGGGCCTAGGCCCTAATTCAAATAACTTGACAGATTTTGATGATCCCTCATGGAAGGCATCACCTTTCCTGGGGGAGTGGATAGGGGTGGGAAGGGGGTTGTGTTGATGGGGGTTATTTTACATATAAATCCTAGTTCCCTCATCCTCCCTCTCATATCTCCCAAATGAGCACCTTCCCATCTCATCCCCTTCCCCCCACTCCACAGGGAGGATGATGCCTTCCAGGAGAGATCATCAAAATCTGTGAGTCATTTGGAGTAGGGTCTAGGCCCTCCCTTCTGCCTCTAGGCTAAGGGAGTATCCCTCCATATGGAACATGATCCCAAAGTCCTTTTGTGCACTAAAGATACATCCGGGTTCCACTGTCAGAGGTCCTTTAGACTGCCCAGGCCTTCTGAGACCCACATTCAGGTGATCTGAGTCGATCCAATGTTGGTTTCCCAGCTATCAGTCTGGGGGTCCATGACTTTCCCCTTGTTCAGGTCAGGTGTCTCTGTGGGTTTCTATAGCCTGGTCTTGACCATTTTTCTTATTACTTCTCCCTATCTGCAACTGGATTCCAAGAGTTCAGCTCAGTGTTTAGCTGTGGGTGTCTGTTTCTGTTTCCAACAGCTACTAGATGAGGGTTCTATGATGGCTGGCATATAAGTTAGTTATCAATCTCATTATCAGGGAAGGGCATTTAAGGTAGCCTTTCCACTGTTGCTCAGATTGTTAATTGGGGTCATTCTTGTTGGTCTCTGGACAGTTCTCTAGAGTCAGCTTTTTCTTCAAACCTATAATGGATCCCTCTTTTTTGGTATCTCTCTCTTGTAAAGAGTACGGATTTTTCCACCCACCGCCCGGTCTTGTCCCGCCACCACACCAGCCCTAAATAACACACTGAGACTCTGTATTTGATATAATTCTTTTGGCCAGGTACTTGTTTCTTATCTGCTATCTCTGTCTTAAGTATTAACCCATTTCTGTTAATCTAATATTTCCACGTGGTCTTCTTACCGAGGAAAGGGGCCAGCGTCTCTTCTCCCCAGTCTCTCCATCT